ATCGAAGCGGGCGAGATGTGCTAGAAAACGGTGACGACGACAAACAGTAATGGCAAGGGTAGGCCTTCCTGAGCAAGGCTGTCAGCGGATGGTTAATTGCTCAATCAGAGGCGCACTTTTGCCAGCAATGCCTATCGCGGCACTAGAAACGTTAGTCGAAACGACAAAGGCGGTAGACGTAGAACAGAAACAGCAGATAACAGCAGCGGCGACGGCGGAACCAGCACCTCTGTCGTTCGTTCGCTTGCTAGGGGTGATGGTAGCGGCTGGAATTATCCGCTTCTGCCCTCATTTCACCACCACCACTTCCCCCATTGGAATCGTCGCCGCTGTCTCGTTGCGTTTCTGCTACTGCTTCGGCGTCTGGTGCCCCTTGTGGCAGGTTGCATTGGGTAAGCTACTCTTTGAGGTTTTCTTCGGCCGCTGCCACTGCCGCCGTAGCGGTGTGACGCCAACAGCAGCAACCACGATCGGCGGTGCCGCTGATGGCAACAATAGTACCGGCCCGCTGGTCGGCCACTGGCTGTGGGGTGCCGTTTCTCCCCCTCCACCCCGTCACCCCTGCCAGCGTCGTTTTGAGCCCCGCCGGTGTCCCTGCCCTGGCTCGTTGTCCAACGTTCGCCACTACCGCCTGCACGTCTGCTCCGCTGCTGCCATCGCCAGAACTGCATCGCCGCTGGCACCGCTAATGCTGTCAACCGATGCTACAGCAGCAGCACAGTCTCGAAAGCAGTCCCGGCTCATCAGCTAACAATCAAGCACAGCCCCTCGAGGGGCTACAATAACCAACACCGACAGCAGAGGCAGCAGCAGGAACGCCTGCTGCCACACCACCGCCTTTGCTGCCGCCGTATATTCCTGTGTCCGATAGTAATACCCCGCACACCCCTCTGTATTTCTCGCTTACGCCACCGATTCCGAGCATGCTTTGTCTGACCCCTTCTCGCAGAGCATCCCTGAACCCTTCGCTTTCGGACCCAACCGCAAACCGCTGTCAGACGAAGTCATCAACATTGCAACAGGTCACGGCGAGAGACGAGTGAGCAGCGGGACGACCATGGGGGCACGGACAACAGCCGAACGACTGGACGAGGCGAAACGGCAAGACCAACTGACAGACGGACGGGTAAATGGGGTGACGAAAACGGTTCCCCACAGCGAGTAAGAAACTGACCGACCAAATAACCGGCCAGTGAGCCAACTAACCTACTACGAACTACCACAGGGGTAGCTGTGTCAAGAAGTCACAGGTTGAACGATAAATACCCGGAGCCCTGAATTCCTTTCCCTAAAGTACTACTACTACCCCTGCCACTGTCTGCAGTCTTTAAGCGGCCAAGTCAGCAAATGGCACCGCCTTCAGCCGCTGCAGGCTGGCGATCATGTCAGTGATGATCATGACAGATATGATGATGGCAAAAGACGAGGCGAAGACGACGGCCATCTTGGTGACGATGACAAAAAGGTCGATTGCCTGCGGAATCCCCCTGAGCTTTACAGTTCAGTGGCATCAATGGCTGGAGCCTCCCAAAAAGCGGCAACGTCGCTACTACTACCGCTGCCTGCCGTAACGAAAACCAAGCCACCGCCACCCCTCCTGCTCCGCTCGTTGAGTCGCTCTTGCGCTCACGAGTCCTGGGACAACTCGAGAGGACGCGGCCAACAACAACGACGACGCCGACGACGACAAAAGCAGCAGTCAGCTAGAGACGACGACGCGCAGCCGAGTAACAGCAGCAGCAGCGACTGACGATCGATCGAATTGGCGCATTGCAGTGTTTTCCAGGGCAGCGCGGCCGGCCAGAAGAGGGAAAGAGGGAGCGCGAGGGCGCCCAGCGGCAACGCGACGACCACCGACAGCAATCGACAAGAAAGCGCGAGAAAAGAGAGAGTTACTAGAGTAAACCAGCGAGAGAAAGAGAGAGGGAGAGAAATTGGGAGGGGAGAGCGGGAAGAGTGAGTGAGCAAGCGACCAGCGACTGTTACTCGGGCTGCTTGGGACGCTACTGCTTAGGCGCCAGGCTTCTATTCTATGGCTGTTGACTCGTTCATTCGGCTGCCATCGGCCGCGACAGTCCGCCGGTCCGCCCCCTCCCCCTCGAAAATTTATAAAATATAGCGTCACACACACAGTGTTCTTCCCATTTCTCCCCTTTCTTCAGCCTGCCCCAGCGGAGCCCACCTTGAACCCCTTGAAGCAGCAGCACCACCGTCACCACTTCCCCCTCTCTGGGACTGCTGCTCCTGGGGCGGCGGCGGTGCTGGTAGCGGCAGCAGCAGCAGCGGCGGCTGCCGCTGGCAGCGCTCCACTAAAGAGCAGCCTACCCGCTCGCCTGCTGCTGCGCAACCACCACCGCCGCCCGCCGCCACCGGTGCTTGGCTCGACTCCGGTCTGCTGCTCCGCTTTGCTTTGCTCTACTCCTCTGTACAGCAGTACTGTACTCCTCCGCTCCGCTCCCCGGCGGCTGATGGCCAACGGCTGACGACAGTTGGATCACCGTGGATAGGGAGTGGTTGTAGTAGTTGCTGCTACGGCTACTGCTCGGTCGTCCGTCGGTCGGTTGGGCTGGCCGGCCCCTTTCGTCCGTTCGCATCTGCAGGTCATTGCGGTGAGCTCGAGTCCGTTCCGACCCAACGTCCCAGACGATCTCGCTTCTTTCCTTCTACCCGAAGCGCACTGTTGACCTCTTCACCCTGAGACTCAACTCAGTCCCATACCCCAGCCCGGCTTCATTGCCTTGGTCCTGTCCCACGCAGTTACAGCTATCACTGCTTTGCCTATTTGCTTGCTTTAGCTGCTGCTCTGACTAGTACCACAATTGTCTTGCCTCTACAACTGTCTTCATCTGGCGGGCTTTCTCTGTCCGTTGACGGGATATTTGCCCCTACCTTGAAAATCCTCATCGAGCACCGCTCAGATTCCCGCCGCAACCGGGATCTCTACGTCTCCAGCCACCGCGCCCGAGATCCTCTCGAGTGACTGTTACTGCCTCCGCTGTTACCGCTGCCACTACTCGCAACCGGCAGTAGCACGACCCCATCCCGTCCTCTTTGCCTGCCAGTCAGCGAGAGCAGCCTGTCTTTCTGTCGGTCGTGTTGTACGGCTACTGAGGCCATGGCATCCGCCACCGCCATCATCGCCACTACAGTCTCCCGTCTCCCCCAGCGCCGTCGGTCGAAAGGTAAAGCCACGAAGAAAAGGTGCAAGGCCGGCATCGCCACGACGACCGGCAAACGAGAGAAGAGGCTCTGCGAGGCGGCACGAACAGAGCTGCACTTGACGGCGGCAACAACCGAGGCGGTGTCCGCGACGGCCATCGCGGGGAGCACTGATGCAAAGAAGCAGGCAGCTGTCATGGGTTGCACCCAAGTTGCTTCACTGGTCTGGCATAGCTACTGCGGGATAGCGGCTGCAGACAGGTCTGGAGTAGCAGAAACAGCAGGAGACTTAGCGAAAGCCGACGACCTTTGCCGTTGTCGTCGTCGTCGCCGCTGCCGCCTCCTTTTCCTCTTCGTCTTGGCCCGCAGTTCCCTAAGAAACTTTTGAACGACCGCCTCGTCTTGTCGTCCACTCATTCGTTCGTTCACCCGCTCGTTCCCCCTAGGCGCCTTCGAAGTGGTTCTCATTTTAACGTCAACGCTTCAAAGCAGCCCCGCGTGACTCTCGTCGTAGTCTTTCTCCTTCTTTGCTCCTAACCCCACTTCTAGTCGCTGCCAATGACGCCGATCGCGGGTGCACCATCGCTGCTGGCGCAACCCGTTTGCCAACTCCTCAGCCGTTCTGGCGCATCTACGGTCGTCGTCATACCCCCCCACCCCTACCTCCGTGGAGTCACGCGGGGGAGGGGTATCCCTACGCGTCCTCTACCCTTCGGGCTCTCTTCAGCCCTCGGGGCTTCCCTATAACTCACCCCATGCTGTCTGCAAAAGCAAGGCCCTTCGTCGTCGCCGTCCGCGCTGATGCAACGAAGAGGGCTCGCCGACAGCTCCGTGGAGGCAGTAGTGGGGCGCGCCGTGTCCATGTTCTTTCACTCAGGCTTGCTCTGTTTTGCTCCCCCCCTTCTTCCCCCCAACCACGCTTGGAAGTGGTCGCCGTTGTCTTAAGAGATGGAAGACGACGCGCCCGACCGATCGAGTAAACAGAGAACGGCTTCAGTTTGCTTCGTTCAGTTTGCTCGTCCCGGTCGCTAGAAAGAAGGCACCGGCTGGCTTTATCATTTGCATCTACGCATGGACGTCGCAAACACTTGTCAAAATACTCTAAAGCTCTTGATTGACGGCGGTGGCCTGCATCAGTGGTCGGTTATGCTGTCATCTTGGAAGTGAAATGTTTGCCTCGATATTGCAACATCTGCTATACGACGATACTATTTTTATGTTTGAAACGAAATCGTCAAGCAAACCGTTGACAAAAGTCGTTGTAAACGGCCGCAGAAAGCCCGAACCTAAGCCAAAATGATCAAACATTTTGTGTCAGATTCCGTGGGACTATTTGGGGGCAAACAGAGTCTTTGCCTTATGTAACAGTCGTTACACCGGCGATCTAGCCGACTACACGCGACTTTGACACCATCTGACGATTAATGCTACCCACAGTGGAATTCTTGACTTGTTATTTCTATATGCCTTGTTTGCAAGTATACTATACGCCCTACCCATTTCGTGCAGCTATGCTCGGTACAAACGTTTGCAACATTACAAACCTAAAAAAAGAATTAGGTTCGCAGGAGTTACAAATTTGCTTATCGCTCTTGGTTGGCGCTTACGAGCTACTCCATAATCTTACGGGTGCCGAGCTTGAACCGATCGAGGAAATCTGATTACATGCACAGACGACATCCACAACAAACAAATGTACGCCACAAGTTAATACAAGACAGACAGGCATAAGCGCTGCGACACATAATCATGCACACAGTGTTGTATAATTTTTTAAATGATTGGTGTCGTGCGTCTTCGCTTTCGGTTGATCACCTTCACTCACATGTGGTTAATTTCAGATTGAGTGCGCGCTGGACGAGCAGGACAAATTAGAAGACGACGACGGAGAGTCACTAGCAGCGTTTGGAGAACCGCCATCGGACGACTATGTAGAACTGAAAATATTCGCCATCTGCTTTGCCAGCTACCTCAGCTCGCTGCTAATCAAGATGGCTCTACGCAGACTGCTCGGACCATCATCGATTTTCTCCAGACGAACGCCATCCGCACCAGCAACCTGAAAGCATCAAGCGTCATTGTGTACCGTTACTATCGCTTCTTCACTACCACGACTGGCACAATTGACTCCATCGTTATTTCGTCAATTACTACTACTACCAAAACTACCATATAGCAACAATCGTAATCTATCGACATTGAGCTTTTAGTAAAACAACCGATATTGCTCGCTCCCAGCTCAGCACATCACCGCCGATCCTGGTTGTCGAGCGCCGGCAACCGTATATCTCTGGCCTCTCTAAGACGATCCTTCCATTGACTTTGCATCGTTCCTATTGACCTTCCTCTCAATGAGCTGTTCTTCAGCTGTTATTCAGCATAGTCCACGAATGTCACTTTATGCGACACGCTCAAGCGATACGGTTTGCGCTCTCTTTCTCTCTCTCTCTCTCTCTCTCTATATATATATATATATATGTCTGACCGGCTAGCAAACTATACGCGAGTAAAAAATACACGCAAGCAGTGACCGACAGCTCAACAGGACTTCAATCACAACAAACCATGACTGCTGATGTGATGTTATCAAGCAGCTCAAGAATGCAAAGAGACAAAAAATAAATAATTACTGTTCAACGGACATTCGGATACATAGACGTACTAAGCTAAGACGCAAACCAGAGCTTTAATTTAGCCCTGAATTTCGTTGCTGAGTCAGTCAGCAGCTAAGGAAACACCAGGTAGCGAAAGGATATAGCAACAGTATCGACCCGAATGTAAAGTGAATTCAAAATAACGTCGGCCAACACAATACAAAAACCAAGACCAAAATGAACCTCTCAGAGGACTTCCAATCAATTACGAGTGATTTTCACTGCCAGCTCCTGGGGCAAACCGATAGCCCCCTGCAAGCCGGCTGTCCCGTGAATAACAATAACAACCTCAGCACGGCTAATAACAACAATAACAGTACAAGTGTAAACAACAACAACGTGAACAACAACAATAACAATAATAACTCGACAATCGCCAATAACAATAACAACTACTTGAAGTCACCCGCCACGAATTTGATGCCCCCACCCCCGGCGCCGGGGAGTTGTTCCGTCGCGTCGGGGGGCACCTGTGCAGGTGGTGGAACTGCGGCGAATATAGGAGGCGCCGGCGGCGGCGGCGGCACCGCAGCTGCTAACGGTGCAGCGGGAGCGACCGGTTCAGCCGCAAACGCCACGAATGCAGCGAACAGCAGCTCGTTTCCAGCCGCGGAATTCGTTGCGGATATACAGAAGTGTCGTTTCCTTTATGACCGAAACGATCCCAACTTTAAGAATATCGCCGTCAAGAATAATCAATGGCAGATGATTGGAATTAAATACGGACTTACAGGTGAGTGTGCATTTCAGTTTTATGATATACATTGCTGGTTCTCTGAGCTAATAAGCTAGCAGTTGGCTAATACCGTGCTTTGATCTCCTATTGTTATTAGTACTAACTGAACAGGTATGTCAGTTCCCATAAATTGTAAATTTGGGTTGTTTATAGGCGTTACCGATGTCATATTGCCTAGTAGGCTTCTCAATAAGATGGGTTGAGTGTCTGCATAGTGTAAAACGGATACCCCGCGGTGCTTACGAGATCAGAACCGCATAAGATTTGTAACATGTTTGTGTTGAACAAACTAACTCATAGATGCAGTCTATTTTAATGAGTTCGTTCTATTTATCAGTTTTAATATAATTCTACTACCTCGAACGCTTTATGACGCATTGGTGCTCGAAGAAGAGCAACTGGTTGACCGTATTTAAAAAGTTTCCTCTTTTCAGTGCGAACAAGAAATTGGCTTAAGTGGCACGAACGTCATAAAGCTATAAGCTTAAGAACGTTCCTAGTCGTAGCACAAAGTTTAGTTTTGTGCATTGGAGATTATGGGCCATCAAGCTATGCAGCCTGCAACAGTGAATAGAGATTAATCTGATATAGGCTGAGCGTACTTTCTACTAAATTCCAAAGTATTCAAAATTACGTTTTTTTCCTTTTTTTTTTTTTAATATGGACAAACCAGCAATAGTTTGTATTTTGTTTGCGTGTAGTATCAATCTGAATTTCTAGCGTCAACAGTAGAAACGAGTCTCTTTATTGTACGGATACAAGAAAGACTCCAAGTCGATAAACAAAAAGTTTTCTGACCACAAATCGGGTCTGCTACCTAACGTAATGCTTCACACGCACAATGTAACGTATCCGCAGTCATCCAATCTTCACAAACGTTTCGGGGTACACATCCCTAACGTTTTGGAGTAGTCTATACGAAATACCTATATAACAAAGAGGAACAAAAGTTCTAGTCATCGATTTGGTGGCCATCGGTCATTGAATTACTAGGAATCTTGAGGTCCTTTTGCCGAGACACATAATCCGTACTTAGCCAACTAAGCACTCCTCATAAATTGTTGATTGGGCCAAAAATTGTAGCGTCAGTAGAAATCCTCTGACTAACAGCCACCTTCGTTAAATGCCACCTCGACCTTTGTTTCTTTTCTCAGCAGTCAGTTCGTAATCCAATGTATTTCAATTAGATGTAACATATATTCAATTAGTTTCCTTGCTTTAGATGCGTTACCAGTCTGATAACGACAGACCTATAATGAGCGGTCAGGCGACTCTAAAGTATGAGCTTCATTTATTCACGAGGCTCAATGTTTCGTTCTATAATTCCTGTGACTGTGGTCAAGTGCCTGCCAATCCTAACACGTATACGCAGGCGCCAAAACATCTTTAAAATCGCTTGAGGCATTTGCAGCGATCTGTCATTGTTTGCTGCATTTTTCACCATCAATACACCGTGGAGAAGCCCCCAGAATATATAAACCTATTTTTCTTGCGTAGCTTGTCACTCAGTAGGGTGCAGATGTCAAGTCGTGTTAGGATACTGTCTGAAGACATTGGTGAACACGTCCTTTTATGTCAGCCCCGTCGTAGAACACCGTTTTTCTTCTTATGTGACGATGGCAACATAATCATTGAGAACGCGGCCGAGTGCATTAAGGATAAGGATGGATGGTGATATTGAAGTCTATAGTGATGAGGGTGAAGAAGGTGGTAGCTAGTGAGCGACAGGCGACGACTACCGCCGGTCTGTGCCGTCGTGTTCTATCTTTGCATTTCTTTTCGTATTTGCTCTGTTCCCACAACTTCCCTATGTCGTCTCGTTTAGCTCGTGCTCTATGCCCCTAGTGATTCTGGTTATCTACGCCTGATGCAGTTGCCCATCTGCTGCTTCTGCACTGTAGGCCCTGTTGTCGGCCTAGTGGTAGTAACAACAGTAGCTGCCGCATCTGCGCCACTGTTTCATGTTTCGCACTCGCGCTATCGGTCTGTTCGCTTATTGGAAAACAGTGACATTCTACCATTCAGTCTTAGCGATGGCGGAAAACCGGCACAGTTGCTGAGCAGTTTTGCATCCACGGCTACGGTTATCTCGGTATCCAACTATATTTACTACAGTGCATGAAGAAAGAAAGATAAGCAGGTCGAGATAGGGCGAAAGTAAGAGGAAGGAAGTCAAAGAAAGGGAGCTGACCATATCTCGGCGACGGCCATCTCATAGGCCAATGCAGTCTCGGGGGCTCCATCGCTCTAGAAGCGCTATGCCCCAGCAGCTTCGCGAAACCGACACGACGATACTCCACGCTGTTGTCGCTTTGGGACAATACGCGGACAATGCGGAGAAACGTGGGAACGCGACGTTAGCGCCAGCTTCCGCAGATCTCGTTTTGATTATGAGCAGCAGTAAGCAGCAATCGGATTTCAAGCCATGTGTCGCGGCCTGTGATGAACGAGAATCTCACCGTTCACCGATAAAGATGAGACTGTTCGTAGCCATTGTAATCAATATTCACGACCAGATATAATATTCAATGTATGCATGATGACCGCTGCCGTTAAAACGAATATTCCGGACAATGCAAATTCTATTATAGCCAGTACCACTATGGCTAAATATATAAATGTTTTCTAAAGAATATTCGACTATAAGTGTAGTGCATATAATAGACGGCTTACTTTATTAAAGAAACAAAATTGATATATGCGTGCTTGCCGGAACCTGTTATATTCCTCTTTAACGATATATGGTAGTTCTCGTATAGATCTGCTGTTCTTTGATTATACAAGATGTGATATATGACGCAGGATATGAAAACTATATTGAGTAGTTAAAAGGTATTGATAAACCCATCTGGGCCTGGGTAACAGGATTGTGGGCAAAGAATCAAATGTCACCTCGGCGATAGTTCTGATCATACATGTGCCGAATGTTACTATGCGCAGACGAACTACTTTTACCGATCTCTCTTCGATTTACAGCGGCTCAAAGGATCCCTAATGTTTCATTCTGTCTCCGGATCGCTTTTTCGGATCAGAGGATCGGCATTCAGAGGGACAGGGAGACTTACCTGCATCCATCGGGATTGAATCCTAGCTCACTTAATTTGGCGTGCAAACGTTTTGTCTGCTTAGAACACCTCATCATTACTCATATCTGTCTATAGATACCTAATCACCGAAAGAAGTCATGATGTCAAGCTAACAATCGATTTGTTAAATAACTAGCAGTCAATTTATCGGTGTTAAAGTGGGTTTTTCACACACTGGGCTTAGGAAAGGCCACGACTTTGCATTTGCGATGGTAACATTTTAATGGTTCAGAATAAGATAAGCAAGTTACTCTAATAAATATGGAAAAATTTCTCCTAAATCGATTGGTCAGCCCTAACTGGATCCTTAATAAATCGGCACTCTCCTGTGGTGATTCTTGTATTCATAAATACGCAGAAATTAAAGAGTAAAATGAAGCATGTGAATAGAACTATACAATGTAAAAAGAGTTTAAAGACAAGCTAGTACGATCCTCGTCAGCCATGACGCTGCCTGCTGCCAACGCACCATAAAACAGGTCTGTGACAATACTCAGGAGACAGCGTTCGTACTGTGGCTTAAAAACGAAAAAAACAACTCGGATCAGACTATGACTGGAAATGACGGTCCTGTCAGATGTAGAACGAACCGCGTCACAAGTCTACGGTAACGAATCATATGAAATATAACTATATAATGTTCACTTGTTGATGCTAGAATTTAGCCATCTCGTCTACCTATTATGTTCTCTCTTAGAAAATAACAAGGACATTCAATTTATGAACGAAGGTTAGTATGCGGCGCGGTTGAAGCGGGCGGCAGGGTCTTTGTGAGATAAATCAACGTGTACTCAAGTATACCTAAAAGCGGAAACAGGCTATCGCAATTGTATCTGGTGATTAATCAAAGTTGAAAGTTTACTCCTCTACGTTAAGAGACAAGGATAAATAGAGTAGCGTAATTCATTAAATAACTTGTGTAAGGAAGCCAACTGCATAGCTTTTATAGCTAAGATCTCTTTTGCTTTACTGTATGACACATCATGATATTTCGAACGTACATGTTGTTGACCAATGCTTCTTCGGTTACGATTTTCCCTCGATAGGGCAAGAGGCCGCCTCGAAGTGGCGAAACCTTCGCGACAAGTACAGGCACCTGTACAAGCGTAAGACGAATGCAGCGCAGGCCGGCCAGGACTACAAGGTGGTGTGGAACCTCTACGAGCAGATGGAGGACTTCTTCAAGTTCGAAGACACGCCGGGCTCGAACAAGAGCGCCAAGCCGCCACCAATCGCACCCCGACCTGATGCCGCCTACCAGGAATTTCACGAGAGACAACAGCAACAGGCCCAACAACAGCAGCAGCAACAGCAGCAAACGCAACAATCACAGCAACAACAACAGCAACAACAACAGCAACAGCCACAGGCCCAACAGACGCAGCAACAGCAGCAGCAGCAGCAGCAACAAACACAACAGCAGTCTGTACATCCGGGTCATCCTGCCCATCAGAATCCCATGACCCATGGCCATCTAGCCGAACATCATCATAACAAAGCCTTTCAAGGGTTGTTAACAGATGTCAAGGAGGAAAGGGCTCATCACGATGAGTAAGTTACCTTCAGAGCTTTCTCCCTTATTGCCATTAACAAATACCAAGAAAGGTATTACATGTCATATGTTTTTTCGCGTATTTCTTGCGTTTTTAAAAACATTGATTTTGATAATGGGTTTTTTGATGAGTATGTCCCACAAAAAGCTAGAGATGATAACGCAGCGATATGCTGCTTGTGTACAGTCCGGTCCATCTCGTGTAGATACGGCAATAGATAGGGTGGTCATTGTCATTTGATAAGCATACGTGCCTTCGCTTTTAGCTTTATTTGAAGGGACAGTATTTGATATTGCTAGGGATTTTTAAGGTACTGCTAGCGTTAAGTAAGCGCTAGGAAATTACCAGTTTTGCCCAATTATTTATCGATTCTGTATTGTTCAGTTCTGGTTAAAGGCTACCGTACTCTGTAACAGCTAATCGGCCTCACGTTCTACCTCTAGTTCTAGAGCTCCCTTCCACATTGTATCGAGGCTGTAAAACCGATTCCTTGCTTTCGGGTAAAAAATGCCATGCTTTTTACTCTTACCTATATTCAAGACTCTGTTTTCGCTGTCAGGTCTGCCATCGAATTATTCCAATTGCCGTATATATTATTAAAACGAATATGTTCTCCACGTATGTACCTTCCAAGAGCGATAAAAGTATCGCTTCATGAAGACAAAGACTTTTCACTTACTTACGATATGAGTAAACCCAGTGATGTGCATTCAGAGATTTTCCAACGGGGACATATACACGTGCCTTTTGAATCATTGTATTAGGTATAATTTAGACGGAGGACAGAGTAACGAAACGATCAAGAAGGCTCTATTCTTCTCGATTGGCCATTTTCGAAATCTTTCATGAGGCCCACTTGTGACAAAAAATTATACGACGTCCTTCAAATAGTGAAGTAAGATAATGGTGACCCCCCAGGGCACCATAGACAATTATGCAAGGTTAAAAATAGACCAGATAAATGACGTTTTTCTTTCCTTTTCGAAAACGTGTTGCATGAAGACCTCGTCTAACAGCGGTTGCGAATGTTGGAATAGCCGAATGCTATTATGCAAATCGGCAAGACAGGCCTTTAACGTTGAATGAAAATCTTTTGTTTCTTTGAGGAAGTCTGGCATGATCACTATGGGGCGAACCAGAGGATATAGCAGTGCTACAGTAAAGATGAGATCCCAAGAAGAAAACCACTAGGAATAAAAAAACAGAATACTGGCACGAGCCCAAACGCTTAGACAAACTGGCTTATTGCCACACACACTTGTCCTAAAAACACTACGAGAAAACATATCCTTGTCATAGTTCTTTTCTTCCTACCGAAGATGCGGAAATTATAGCTAGGTACGTTTCGAATGCGTTTGGGTCTGTTATCTCACCTTTACTTTGGAGTATGGCCATTCTGGTTTCTCTTCAAAGGGTTCTCTGAAAAGCTCGTTTCTAACATGTTGGCTTTTTTCGACTTGATAAGGTTGTATTAACTTCTGTCAACTAGACATGGTTGCTAGAGATCTGATGCGCAGTTATCCTAAGCTCCATAAGCTATTGGAACTTCAGAAGGTAACGCCGAATGATACTAACTTGGCTTTATTTATAGAACTGGGTATGCTATTTATGTTAATTAAAAAAATTTCATTATCACCTCGGAACATGCGCATTATGCCTATGTAATATTGCTTACATTCAAATATTATATTATGAGGTGTAAGGGCTCATAGCATATGAGATAAACCCTCGTCAAAGTTAGAAAAAATGCATTTGATAGATGTGTGTCGTAGATACTGTGCAGATCTTAGATGAAGATTCTTTCACTACTCTGAAGAGACTTATACTATCCTGTATAATAGAACCTGATAAAGTCTTTGTGTATGCAGTTACTGCGTATTTCACTCATATTGACCTAGTGGTACTTCAAGGTCAATGTTATGCTCGGAACGAGACATTGAATTAGAAAGCCATGCCATACTGTACCTTCTTCCATGCAATACGCTAATAAAGATTTCAACAGGTTGACTAAAACGACGAGTGCAGGGGGATTCTCAGTGTGTTTGTGTGATTTCGACTTTGGAATATAATAATATCTCCATTGTTTTCGTCTATTAACTAAATCAACCTATTTTGCACGCCTCAGAAAGCACATTGCAACGGGGCGGTTAGACTAGATTGTAGCGATACGTAAAACAATATTTCCGGGTGCACATAAAACATTTAGCCGAATTAGAAACGCAAAACGTCAATGCTGTTATCGAGCATGACGAACGAGAACTCAATTCGTTACTATGTATGCAAAACAAATTCGGGCTTTCCCTCTTATGATTACGTATACCTAAGTGATATGTAGTCTATATTAGGATACTATCGGAGCTACGACACTCATTTACGGAGTCGTTTGTGATAATGTCGTTAGTTACCCAGAGGGAACCCGCAGGGAACAAGTCATGTGAAGGCCCTAATGGCGAAACATCACTAACAGCATCTTCTACAGTCTTCTGTATATAATTGTGGACCCGTCGACATGGGCGGAGTTCAGACGATTCTTCACCCTCTGCAGTTGAGTATGGCTCAAGTTTTCTCCATTTCTACCTAATTATTACCGGATCGGATGTCATTGCGGTTGTAATTGTTGTGTACAACAAACTCTCAGTATCTTTATCGCATATACGCATGTGCGTATGTGTGTGTATGGGCCTATTTCTTGGGACGCCACGAAGTTCTTTATAAATTCGATCGGATAATTGAGATAGTCATTAGCTATGACCAGTATCGTAGAAAAGATTGAAGCCCAAATTAGTTTAACGAAAGTCAAAATTATGGAGCTGACAGGTACGCTGACACTGTGAGACAGCCTCGAAGGTCTCCCATATCATGTTTAAGTATTGTTAATACTTAATAAAGCATTTGTATCCTATGTGAAACATTGTTGACAACGATTGAAGGACGTCGGGGCATAGTAGCGGCGTTGATATGCTCCGACGCGATTTTAGTAGCACGTCATCACCAAGCATCGTCAATCGTTTAGTTGCCAGTCGTACCTGCTCATATCTATGACCCTGGTCTAGACGTAGAAACATATTTACGTGCGCTATATATATATGCTACGTGGTGTCTCTATATAAATGCGTTAACCATGTTGATAGTGACGAAAGCTTGTATCGAGCGTGACTACAGGAGGTGTAAGTTTGCCGCCGCCCTAAATCGTTGTCGCCACTACCTAGAAACAGAGTAAGTTTTCTGTTTTTTCCGCGTAAAGGCAGCAGGCGTAATTGGTTGCAGAAGCTGCCACTTAAACCACAGCAAAAGGTGCGCGACCCAGCTAGCGAAGAAATAGAGAAATACATATAGAATGTAGAAAAGTCTTCAGTTGTCGATTTCGCTCAATCACTCGACCACAGGAATAAAAGACGCTGGTGCCCAGTTTGAGATTGACTTCGTGAGGGCCTGAATTTGGGATACGACTATACAGAAAGAGATTTCCTTTTCTCAGTTCCTGCATATCCAGTGTAATCGTGAACATCTTCGCTGAGCGATATATGCCATCTTTTAACGAATGAAGAGAATTCGTTAACGTTTCACCACTCTTTTAAGGATGACAAAGTTAAAGAGATGTTCTCGTGATTCCACATTACGTTTCTTATGCACAAATCTTTTCTTATCTAGTTATTTATCACAATAGCAGACTGAAAGCAACTAAACAAGGGCTGGTAAAAGGCAGCCAACAAGAAAGGCGTATTGTCGATACAAGCTAATTATAGCAGGAATTCAATTACTGCGTCCGTCTCAGTCCGATCCCAGCCAGATCCTAGTCAAATTCTGGCCTGTGGCGGGAATAGTAACATTGCGAAACATGAATGAACCAATAAGGCAAGTGTTCAGGCTTGCGGGTGTCATCAAATAAAAACAAGGGTGTCCTTTGTGACATGTCGGATACATGTCTGGTCGATACATAACCTTTGGACTAAGGGGTGACTCTGCCTTTAATTCTGTCAAGTAGTGCCCTGTCATTCGCTATTCAAATATCGACTGTGTGATTGTTTATCGACTCTTCGAAGTATCTGCATTACTTTTTTGCTCGCTGGCAGAGAGAGTAGGGACTTGCAACGGACAGACTGTAGGCTAGCACCGACCGAGACGCGGCTAGCAAATGAATTAGCTAATGTCTTTGGCTATTTACGTAGTGTTACTGGCGACACTGGTAAGCCGACCAGCGCCGGCCAGCCAGATAAGTAATAGCAGAGCAGCGAATCAGTCCAGTCGTTTAAATGGACAAGAACGAGTGGTGGCAGCTTTTCCAGTTCCGAGATTCAGAGGTTTTGTTTTCCGACTCTCTACCCATCGACTGAGTAGTATACAGTTACATACTTTACAATGGTATACTTCGCTCTGTGTTTAGTACCCAAATGTCGCTCTCGGTGCTTCTGCGCCTTCTATAAACGAAGAAGTGCTGAAAAATGCGTACAGCGAAACTACAAACGAGCCAGAGTAGTGATAATACAGATTATCAAAGTACTTTTGGGAGGAGTTATGTTGTGTTCTCCTTGACCTTTCGTTGGCGTCAGGATCGAAGAGCGGCCACTTTTCGTGACTGAACTAAAGCTGTGATGTGTTATAAACAAATATGAAGGCTTCCGTTAGTACTCTATTATACAAATGTGTACGCGTGAGTAGTTCGACCTAGCAGAGGACTATAACGGCGTATGATATTTGCCTAGCAACGATAAACAGTAGACGGCATCGAAATTTTCGTTTGATGCTAGTTAAAGTATTGCCTTGGCCACGTAAATTTACGGAAAACTACTAGCTGCGTTATACTAAAGGATCGTCGTTTATTTGGTGCTCCACTTTCAGTCTCTCGTCGGCATCCCGACACATAGGCGAGCACTATTTCGGCCAGGCGCACCATCAGGCGACAGGGTACGCGCATGGCTATTACGGTCAACAACGAGTGGCGGCTGGCTCTTGTGCTCAGACTGCGGCCCCTGTTCCTAGCGGACAGGTACGTCAGGGCACGTCAGGATATCCCGATCCCGCTAGGATATCGGCGAGCTGCGGGGGCTACCCGGCTTCTGGACATCCGGGGGCTCATTTAGGTGCTCATCCGGGAACTCATCCGGGCGCCCATCCAATGCCCCACCCAAGTGCGCACCCTTCAATGCGAAGTGGCAGCGTTGGAAGCTCGTTTCGGGACTACCCACAGGCTCAAGCTCATCCGGGTTTGCCGCATGGCTCCCACAAGGCCGCCAGCAGCAACATGCACTATGGCTATGCTCATTACGCTCCTATGCAACAGTACGTCCAGCAAGGCCCCGCAGTGGGTCGGCAAGTAAGCCAGATGGGTGGCCATGTGGGGGGCCAACACCATCCGTATGGAGGCCACCACTCGTATCCCGGCCATCAGGCTCATCACCAAACAGCTCATCAAACCCATCACGCCCAACAGGGAGGAGCCTGTTCGTCTGCGAGCCGTGACCCATCATTATCAACAGCAGCCGGCGTCGTTAGTCCAATCGAACAACAACAACAACAACAACAACAACAGCATCAGCAACAACAACAGCGTAAGGAGTGCCCCGCATCCTCGATGGTCTCCCCCCCGTCCTATTACCAGGGCTGCGCGGCTGTCGCCTATCCCCAAAACCTCCTCGCACCCCTATCGGCACAGCAAATCTCGCAGAGTGGCAGTAGCTCTCAGTCTCAATACAACTCATCAAAGTACCACACCTTACACAACAGCCAGCAGTCAGTAAAGCAGCAGCAGCCTTCATTAGTTCAACAGGACAGTACTACTGCTACTACGCCTCAACAACAGCAGCCTCAGCTTACCGCTCAGTCGACTACTCAACATTCCACCTCAGGCGGCCTCAGCCCTCATAAGCCAGTACACCATCTTCAGACCACACCTTCTGTTGGACCAGCAGCAGTCGGTGGCGTTGGACCTGTGACCACCAGCGCCGCGCGGACGCAGTCGGCCTCTTCGTCGGCCGCAGCGGCTGCAGTGGCAGCGGCAGCGGCCAACCTTCAATACGGTTACAGTCAACAGGACCCGTTCTCACCACCAACGGCCACCCAGGCTGCCATTGGCGGCCAGTTAGTGCAGTGCCCGAATCTAGCGAGCAACGCCGATGTGTCGGCGACGACGACGACGGCAACAGCCAGCTATTCCCAAGCGGCAACGACTACCTCGACGACGTACACAAGCAGTTCGTCAGCTGCTGCCACGGCAGTTCAACAACATCCGCATTCACATCCACATTCGCATACGCATCCTCACCAGCAGCAGCAGCCGCCACATGTCTTGCATTCGCTACAAGCGGTTGCGCATCATCCGCACCAATCGGTCGATCCACACGTGGTTGTTCATCAGCAGCAGCAACAACAGAATCAAGTACAGCAACAGGTTTGTTCTCCGCCGACAATCTCGACCCTGTCTATGGCCAACTTACCCGGACATTTACCGACGGGCCCGGCGGCTTATCAGGCAGTGGCGCCGCTGCCCTGTCTCACGTCACATGCGCCCCCTACGCCGCCATCATCGACCGGGTCACAGGTGTCTCCGCCCACACCGACCACCCAGTGCCCTCCACAGTCGCAGCAGCTACAATCGTCCGGTTCAACGGGCGGCGCCCAGACTACCCAGACATCGCCCGCTGTACCGTCGACGTTCGCGACGCCACCACCAACGCCTTCATTACCTGTCACCACGTCGGCGTCCGCCGACTTGCCTTCGCCCACCGTCAGCTCAGTGAAGGGCGAACCGCCTGCGCGAAGTCCAGCAGATTGTCATTCGGCGACGTCCACCGACAGCAACAGTTTAATGGCGGTGGCGAATAACCACAACATGACGGGCAGCGCTAGCGGAGGTTCCGCTGGAAGTAGTGGAAACAGTAGTAGCAATGCGACCGGCGGTGGTAGTTCTGTTGTCTCGCGAGACGCCAGCGCTGCGGGCGGCTGTAGTAGTATGCTGGCAGCTTCGGCGTCCGCCCAGCTTGCTATGGCGATTTCGTGCGCTACAGGGCAATTGGCAAGCTCGCCAAACACCCATACGCGTGAGGGCCCAGGTGGAGAGTGCGAGGAGGATCCCAGCCCACCATTGCACCATCCGAATTCACTCAACGTCCCCATTATGGCTCCTGCCGATGTAGAACATGCCTGGCCTTCAGCCGCCGCATTAGCGCCTTATAACAGCAGTAACAGTGCTGCTGCTGCCGTCGTCACGACAAGTAACTGCAGCGGCAGCAGCAGCAGCAGCAGCAACAGCAGCAGCAGCAGCAGCAGCAGCAGTGGCCATAATAGTGCCAACGCACAGGGCGCAGATAGCACCACGAACAGCAACTGGTTAGTATTGTTTAGATACGTTATATATATATATATATATCCATACAATATATATTATAGACCATAAT